CAAGTTGACTTGTATTCCCTTATGTAGCATCGCCAACGATAATAGCGATATAGACAATCTGCATCCACGCCCGTCCAGGCGCCGGAAGTCGCCAGATGGCTCCTTGGCGCCATGAACACCGGAAATTGATGCTCGTAAGGAACAATCCATGGTCGGCGTGCAGTTGATCGCTGTTGTCCGTCCTGTGAGTACCGTGGCTGTGTCGACCCCGAAGTTCACGCTCAAGAACCTCTAGTCTGCCGACCTGCGCATTTAGGTCTCCAGCGAGTACCACGATCTCCGGGCGGCGTTCCTTGCGGAGGAGGTCAGCGAGCAGGCTGCAGAACTCATCTTTAGTTACAGTCCGTAAGGGCGCATTGATGCTTGCCAACTGGCGGATCCGGATGTTCTGCGTGCGGTCCAACCTATGATGGAATGCGAGTTGAGTAGACGTCCAGTGAACACAACCAAATGCCGTTGGCTCATAATCTCTAGGTGTTATTCTCACTACGTATGTTTATAGAAACACACGTGATTAATCTAGCTGTTAACCTACGTAGTAGGTCTCTATGCAATCTCTGAAATTTCTTATAGTCCGCCGAAGCATTCTGACAAAAAGCGAATGCAATTAGGCTTACAGAAATCTGGGAAAAGTTACTCGTTGGTTCGGCCACTGGTCGAAGGATTAGGCGCCTGTCTTGTAATCTGTAGATCCTCGGTTCGTATCCGTGTAGGTGTGAACGGCCTTGATCACGCGCGACTAGTGGTGATCGCTTAGTAGTGAAGCGTCGGTGCGGTGTACTTTTCGTACTGTCGATGACTTTACTTGCCTGTCTGAAGAGACGCCACGGCGTATATTGGTTTCATAGTGCATCGGAGCTGGAGACTGCTGTTGCTCTAGATAACTATCGGGAGTTATTCCGTCTGATGCGGAAAATGACTTGCAAACCACCTTGTGTCACCTTCAAAATGCCTGCATTTTACCATCACTTCCTCTTCTAACTCAGGTGTAAATTCTGGTAACTCATTCAGTTTCCTCATGTGCCTGCGAGCCGCTACTTTACTTTGTGCACAGTACGCGCGATCATCTCACCTTTTCACGTGGCCCCCGTATAACCCACCTGCCCGATGTGTGCTTGTGCCCGATTCGTCGCGACATCGGGGGTAACATGTGCGCCATGTCGGTTCGTCTTTTTATGTGAATTTGTTTATTTTGTTTCTTTCTTCGGCTGAGCGAGTTTCCACTTCTTTGTGGAATCAGGATACAACTCGCATCCGGTACATCACACGCAATGGAACCTTCTTACAATTACTAGTTTTGATTTGCATGCCTGTGTGTATGCTCAACAAAACGTTGATACACCTGTGCACATTCTACTGCATGGTTAGTGTGGCTTGCACCTCTTTAACACATGATTAGCTGAAATGGAGTCACGTGAACAATTTTTTCCACGAATTGTTGCGGATTTAGACAAAGCGTATGACGTGTTTTATAAACAATCCTTGTACGCCTGTATTCGCATTGTAATGGAACACCATTCAGCGTGTTCATTCAGTTGCACGAAATAACAGTATATCGATCACATGTTGATCAATAGCGTGCACAAAAACTACGCGATAGCAGGCCCATGTATGTCAGTAACAGAGTGTTAAATACTTGTGACAGTGTCGGTTTTTAAGTTAAATACTTTATGATGTGTTCACAATTGGCACTGTTGCTCTTGTTCCGATAAATTCAAATAGTCGAGGTTGATGATGGCGAGTTGTGTCTTTATGGAACGTGCGCATCCGAAACTTCCGTTATTCATGAAGTTGATTTTGTTGATCAAGATGCGATTGCTTTTTATTCACGGCTATTATCGGTCAGTAGTTCATTTATCATATGTATCGCCTAATGGTTTGCAAAACAATACTAGGTATATCTCCGTCGCGATGAACAGTACCGTAAAATTTGCGGAGGACAAAATCTAGATCCCTTTTGCCGAGCGTGATGGAATGTCGGAATTACTGCGACCTCCATTTCAATTGGTTTCCAGCATAATCTGTTGCTACCACAGAGTAGAAGGCAACTGCATGTGCTGCGAAGTACTGCAGTCAACGGCATTCGTACTGGAACGGTTGATATGTCCTCTTCATATAGATGGAGCCGAATTTGTTGTTTACGGATGAATGTGCCGCAATCACACAACCTTTGAATGTTGCTATCGTTACGTTTGCAGTCGTTGGTTCCCTTTTGTAATGTAATGTGACCATCCCGCATGTGTGTTAACCGTTGCTTTTTCGTAGACCATCTAACTGCATCACAGGTGTAGGTGTAAGTTTGATTGGCCGAACGTCATTCTGTATACATTTTGCCTGTGATTGGTTGGGTATGTTTGCAGATCGCTTGATGGGTGCTATGTAGGTCTTTATTATCTTTCCTTAGCCGGTAACCAAGCGTTGTTGGAAAAAATTGAGTTGAAATAGTTAAGAATATTCGTAACTCGGGGTGTGTACGCGGATTTTGTGCTGTTCTCGAATCCGAACGACTGGTTTGAGGACGTTTCTTTGTCAGACTAGACAACATCATCAGTGCGGCTTCAAGGTGCTGGTTCGCGGAGCCTCGTAAGCGAATTCTAGATCCAAGAACAACACAAGTTCCACAGAAATTAAGTTGCCAACTACCCAAATGTGATCAAGGTATGTTTTCGTTGTACTTGCATGAAGATCCCAGTGAAAGGGTGGATAATAAGATTGGAATAGTTAACTGATTACATGATATACTGAGGGAAAAGTAGATGTAGTGATTTCAGTTCTATCAGTCCTACAGTGTTGAAGGTAAAGAAATTTGACTTGGCAGCGTAAAACGAGAGGTCTAGACGAGATAACGTGACACGCATGACGTTCGGCACATAGTATGTTCAAAGAAGTGCGCTATCAGATTCGACCATACCTTTGTTCTCCCATAACTCATCATCAGGCGTGATGTTGTTCGAGATCTCCGATACAGTGGCAGTACTCAGGAGTTTGTTTAGGGTAACGCGGAACTGTACTGCTACCCGGTATCGTAATGTCCACTCTTAATCTTTTCTACACTTGTGTGTCCGTAAAGGACGAAGCGATAGCGAATGTTGGGCCGAATTTTCGGTAGAGTAATTGAATAAGACCTATCTAACGGGTAGCGAGCGAACCACTTTATGTGGGCGGAACAATCGCTATTCATATGAGGATTATTTGTGATTCGGACGCTCACGTTGGAAAATTGTCTAGTGGTCTCAGTGGCCAACAAGATTTAGGCTCACCAGACTTAAGCCATGGACACAAGCTGCTCAGTTCACCACCAGTTGCCGTTGAAGAGGCTGTTCAGAACTGCCGCTCAGTTCGAAGCACAAGTGTGAACTCCAACTATGCACTTGTAAATGCTGAGCTCATGTGCTTTTCGGCCTGCGTCCTCCATGACGTTGCGAGCGCATAGACACCATGACATTGGTAAAGTCAGGTGTTCTGAACGCGCAGCATAGTACGCTATCATGTGCCTCGAGTAAACGCTCATTTCACACAGTTGAAAGTCACTGGTCACGTGTTCACCGAACGTGTCTTTGTGTGGCAAATCTAGTTGTCAACACAGTCTATGGAACATCTCGTTGCTTGCCGACACATTTCTTCTGGAACCGAATACTACGAGATTCACCGTGATTGCAGGGCACAATTGCGTGCTGGCCTGAAGAGAGACGGTGAAGCCTGATGGTCTTAATATGCGTCGGATATGAAACGGCCGCTGCTCTTGATAGCCATCAGAATTTATTCCGTCTCATACGGGAAACTGGCTACAGGAGCTTAGTTGCGTATTCAAGTGACAATTTACCCTATGGAAACTTGCGAATCTCCCCTCGCAATTTGTCTCAAAGTAAGATACCCACAAGTACAAGTCGACATTCTTATCGAGAAACCAGCTTTTCACTGCGACTTTTTTTTATCTACGATCATTATACTAGTGTGCCGGTTACTTGTTGCCAAATACACAGCAACTGTGCGAATTAGAACATGATCAGGAGGGACAACTTTCACAAGTCCATTTCTTACCGGAATCGTCGAGGTGCCAAATCGTTTTATACCAAGTCCTCAAAGATGAAGGTGGTATTTCAATCTCATAAGCGTTGCCCGCGCCTCAATGGCGTAAGGGGCAAAGTTTTCGGTTTGTATTCAAACTGTCCCGGCTTCGAGTGTAGTCCTGCTATCTCCGTCTGACGATTGTAAATAAAGAGTACGGGAGAGTAGAATCCAGGATCTATTGACGAAGATGATTGTCGAAGTCTTGATTGGTTCTCCGAGCTGAGCAATTGGATTGCATGCGTTTCACCACCAGTCGAGGTGGCATCTTCAGAGTAACGACAAGCAGCTTGATATAGGTGGATCCACCTCTAGATTTGCTCGAAGCTCAGTATCTGCTATCAAGCTACTTGTCGTTATGCACTGAAGATGCCACCCCGATTGGTGGTGCAACGTCTGCAATCCAATTGCTCAGCCCGGAGAACTAATCAAGACTTCAACCGCCAACCCCAGCTACCGGTATTCAGACTCTTTGCAAGATGATTGTCACTTGTGCTTCGGCAATCATCGTTATCCTCACGTCCATAAGATACATGCATACCAGTGGACTACTGTTGGTCTTCTTTCCATTTTCTATTTTCTGGAGAGGCTGACAATTTACACATATCTTATAGTTTACTATTTTATTGAAATTACTCCAGAGACTCAATCTCATTATCTTTAGCTTCTCACCTTTCGATGCAAGGTTCGGGTGACGTACGAACATCGCTGCGGTTAAACGGGTTCATCTCACAATCCTGATGTCCGAAGTTGGTCTCATAGATGCTTCCGTTGTTCCACTTCTGCTTGCCGTATCCTGATGGCTCACGTTCTTTACCCTTTTTACCATCGTATACCGGCATAATTTTGTTTTCGCTCGCAGTGAAGATCGTGTGGATTGTTCCCATTTCTGTGAACTCACTTGTTCTCTGTTCGCATCTATCTCCCGCCAGCTGCTGGTATTCCGGACTTTCGCACTCCTTCCAGTGGAATATACGATAACCTCGAGGAGTTTGACCTACCCTATCCAATGGCTGTTTTCTCCATAGACTATTTTCATGTATGTGCTGGTCATTTCCCTCCACTTGAACAACGCCAATACCCTTCAGTCCGATCCACGCGCCTTCTTCGAAGTTGCCAGGAGACTTTACCGACCGAACGCTAAGGTGCGATTGTTTCTACCATACCGGAAGTTGTATTACAGGTTGGCTATAGCCCACGATAGCTCACTATTTTATCCGATTGCTTCACGAGAAAAATTTGCTCCGTCGACATTACACTCAGGTTAGCTAGTGGCCCCGCATTTCCGATCCTATGGTACTAGAATGTGGACAACTTGGACCGTCTAACTGGCCTTCCGGATGAGAAGCTGATCGAGGCACATGGCACTTTTCACACTGGTCACTGCGTGCGTTGCGGTGAATGCCACTCATTTGAGTACATGAAAGGTTAGTCGCCTGTGTGTGCTTTAGTGCCTTATTTCCCAGAGAAAATTTTACGAAAACAGGTCCCACAATGCTCCAAGAATCATTGTGCAGGAGTTGTAAAACCCGGTAACTGTCGTCTTTTCATTGATAGTTTAATTCAGATGTGGTTCTGTTCGGGGAGAATCTACCACGTCGATTTTACTCTCACCTGAGCTCTGTGAGTCCACATTTGTATAAGAGCTGAAGTAAAAACATTCGTCAACCATTCTGGTACACCGCACGTTCAGATACCATACTAGCGGTATGGTTGTGTTCATTTACCGGTGTCTCCATCTTATGATCACATGCCACACTGTCGTACTACTTTAGAATAAATAAAGTTATAAGCTCAATCTTTAACCGAGGTCTCAATAGCGATTGCGTGTCGCAGTCCAATCACACGGTGGGTACTGCAAATCCAACTTTGAACTCCTTACCGATGTGCCAAGCGTTGTTCATGGACCTTAGAGGCGTAGTGATCAAGACGTCAGCCACAAACCACTGGGTTCCCAGGTCCACTCCGGCTCAAGCTATCTCCCTCTGATGAGTCCAAACTAGAACGAAACCTGCCATGGGTTGTCATTGTTGGAACAACACCGAAACACCCCCGAAGTCATGAACTCTTCTGCTCATTCATCCATATTTTCACTTGATTTTCGTGGAACTCTTCTCTACCTGTGGACCACCGATGCTATTTGTACGCATTTACACACACGCTTTGTTTCTGATCCTGTTGTGTTCTTTGAACCGTTCTTGGTAAACGCTGCCTTATTGCAGAATGCGGTGCTACCAGTTCGACGCAGACTACTTGAGATTCCCCACTTGTTTGTTACGGGGTTGGTACTGGCTATGGGTATCCAAATGGATCAGATAGAGGCCTGTTCTCGATCTGAGACTTTCCGTTCTGTCACCAGCCCTTCTCGCATATGCGAATGAGCATTGCTCATTGGCAGTTTCGTAATTCAAATTGAACGGCCCACTGACACGCTGTTCCGCTTCTTGTCTGTCGCATCATGATGAGCCATATAGACAGGTTCTGAGCACCATTCAGTGCTCGTTCTTTGTGCACTCGTGTCGACCAGCTACGAACACCATCGACCTTTAGTTTACGATTTTAGATGCGTAATGGAAGAGTTTGACGTTGCTACAAATTTGCCGTTGAACGAATTCTCTCGTCGATGCTCGTGATTCTAGATGCAGTCTCTACAGCGGTTGAAAATGTGGACTTGCCAGATTGTACATCTGCTAATTAAAAATAGGCAATTTGCACCATCCAGCTAAATAAATAAATTTGTATACTTACCGACAGACGGAAGTGATCATTTGTATAATGAATAGGTTTCATGGTTTATGCGGCGTAAAGCATAATAGTAAAGAGAAGTTTATTAATATAATTTCAGATCATGATTCTTTTCCTCGGGTCCTAGACCCGTGCACCTCATATGTAAAATTTACGGATGTTTGTATCATCAGGTGTAGATAATAACAGGGAGGGGCTACTAGACTTCACAGGCACAGCATTTGGTATTGTAGGTAATGACATATAGTGGGTAAGCTAGTTGTTATGCGAATATCTGCTCGTGTTTTTTATACCAGCATCTGTCAATGTTTCTAGAGTTTGCTGTGAGTCAAATATCTTCAACACATTTGGTATAGTGAGGAACGTCTGAAGGGAATTTCGAAACGTGACACAGCTTGTTCTCATGCGTATATGTAGGGGTAGCTTGTTCCACAGATCAGTGTATCTCACTAAGAAGAAATTCGATCGAGTTTTCTAACTTGAAAGGTTTGTGCGTATCAAGTAGCTGCCATTACGTTTGGGGTAGACTGCAGTCTTTCGTAGTTCAAGTGCGGTGCTGTCTGCGTAAATTCGTTGGTTTACAATGTTGTAGGAGAGAACGAGGTTGTTCTTTAAGCGTCTCAGTCAAAGAGGATCCAGTTGGAATTTTCGACAGCAATCATAATAAGTCAGGTTTGAGCAGCGCCCCATGACCAGCTTGGTAAATGATCGTTGGGCATTTTCCAGAGCCGTTCTGTCTTTCTTTCTCAATTGGCTGTGAATGATAGTACAATATTCCAGAGTCTGTCGTACTATTGTCTTGAGTGACTCAAGTCGTGCTTCAGGCAGGGAGAAGGTTCTGGTGATGTATCCGCATAACTGCCTTGCTTTCGCAATCTGATAAAGTGCACGTTCGGAGAAATTGGGATTTCACTGCGGAGAACTTTATTAATAAACGCTCACTAGCTATATTTAGTGCGGATAGGTCTTCACAGATGTTTCCCACATATATGTACCTGGTCTGGATGAAATGAGTAAACCAGTTTGACGTCATTTGCAAACAGAAATGTGTGTCCATGTTTGAACGGGTCACATATATTGTTTACGTAGATTAGGAAATGTAGTGGTCCGCGCACACTTCCCTGGAAGACGCCGCTGGTTATCTGTTTGGGTGTAGAATGTTGCTGACCGATTTTAACTACTTGAGTTCGACCGTTTAGTTATGAGTCGAACAAGTTAACCAGAGGATTTCCCATTCCATATGACTAGAGCAGACAGCAGTGGCTTGTGCGGTACGCGGTCGAACCCCTTTTGCATGTCCAACAGAATTATAATAATCGCCATTCCTCTGTCACTCATAGTAGTGACGTGATCGAGAAATTGTAGCTGGCATGTAACGCAGGAGCGTTTTGAGAGAAAGCCGTGCTGTGAGGGGCTGATCAGATCCAGTCTTGTAAAATATTGAATAATGTTCTTCTTGACCATTCGCTCTAGGGCTTTTGAAGCAGCAGAGGTGTGATTTATTGGGCGGTAGCATGACACTTGGTTTCTCGGACCACCCTTGTGCTTAGGCATCATAATGGATTGCTTCCATTTAGTGAAAAAGCAGCCGGTAGTGAGTGAAAGTGTGAAGATGTTTAATAACAATGGAGCGAGGTTTTTTCCTCCGAGTTTTATAACAGTTGGGGAGATGCCATCTAGGCCTGGACGAGTTGATGGTTTTATGGCTACGATGGCACTTTGCACCTCTCTTAACGTCACAAGGATATTGCAGTGTAGTTCGGTCGTTCTTTTTGGAAGTGGAGGATAAGGGGCTGAATGTTTGGGACAAGACAGGAGGCAAAACTAGAGTTCATAGCCTCGCATATACAGGAGATGTCACGCGTTATTGAACCATCGTGTAGAGCCAACGTTTCAGTTTCCTGGAGTGCTTTATGGTTCCTTTTTTTGAGTATTTGCGTCAATGTACGTATTTTCTCAGGATTTCTAAGTACCCGACTTTCTTTGATTTTGGCCGTTTGGGTTAGATGTTGTAAATGTAGTAAATTCTCGTGTATTTGTAGCAATGTTGCGAAGCTGTTGCTCCTGTGATATAGCGATTTGAGTTTCTTTAGTTTGATTTTGGCTTTGTACAGAAGCTTGAGTTCACCTCTATGTTCATGGGTATTTCTCCATCCAGTAGGTGCCATGATGTCCACAACAAGGGTACTATTGTTCATTAACTCATTTGTAGTCACAGTAGGGTTGTGCGTTAGGAATGACGTATTCCAATTCATGGTACTGATAAGTTCGTTAAATGAGTTCCAGTCCACATGATGGAGGTTGCGAATGGGTTTTAGCATTTTACTTGGTCGTTTAGTTGAATCTATAGTCATATCACAAAGCATCGTGTTGTGATCACAGCCAGGTAGTGGATTATCAATGAATGTATAAGCTTAAGCGCTTCCCATCGCGAATACAAGGTCTAAGGTAGTGGCACTTCTGGTTGGCTCTGTTACATGCTGAGTCCAGCCATTGAGGTGAATACATGAGATGATTTCCTCAATCCCCGCAGTGTTTCTGAGTGTAGGCAGCATCCAGTTACCATGTGATAGGTTGAAATCTCCACACATAATTTTGGATTTGTATGTGATGCTGGAAGCAGCATTGATCATATCGATTAGCTTTTGGGTTTCACATTGAGTGGTTGGGGCGGCCGGTAGATACAACCCACTAGAAGATCAGTAGATGGGATCACTAGCCATAGTATATCTTCTAAGTCAATGAACACAGGTTGATCTGCAGGAATGGCAGTCAGGTTATTTCGAAGATATATGGCACAGCCACCACCACGTTTGTGTGAGCGATCCTTGCGGAAAAGTTTATAGCCTAAGATTTTAAGTTGAGAATCACTAATTTCTGACATGCACCAAGTTTCAGTGATAAAAGCAATATCGGGGGATCTCATAAACGTAAGTGTTGAAAGTAGATCTAATTTAGGTAAAAGAGGACGAATGTTAATGAGGACAGATTTGAAAGACATTGTTAAATTGGAATGAAAGTGGTAGGTAATGTTTGTTTCATCGTCATTGTATCTGAAAACTGTGTGTTATGAGGTAGCTGAGGCACACTAAGCTTCAGATCGTACTGGATTGAATGGAGTACATACTCCAGTAGTTTGATTATTCTCTGATTCATGATCACACTTGCTAGGGGTTGGATTGGTGGAAGAGGAAGTGGTGGTGTACGGTAGTCTAAAAAAGGATGCTGAAGTCTACAAAATCATTTTTCTTCGGATTGTATTGTTGGCAATCGAGTATTACAGGGGGTGGTGGTGGTAGAGAGGTAGGGAGAGGGGGTAGTGATGGTTTGCACCCTCTTACCTGTAAGTCCGTGTGGCCTACCACCATTTTGTTTGCTATTTCGGTGTCGCACACACAAGGGCTTTGCCAGCTTGAGGTCGCGGAATTTGGAAACGTAGTCAGAGACATTGTGGGTAAGTATTGGGCCGGCTCTCTGCGACTTATCCCGCAACAGTGCCGATGTTGTATGCAGAAGCTTGAGGACGTACACTTTTTCTCAGTTGGCCTAGCTACATATCTCTACTTTCTTGTAGTGATCGCTTCAGACCTACTGAGCTTTGTTTGCTTACGGGAGAAATTCTGGCAGGGTGTTTTCTACTGTTTTGCCTACGCCTCGGTTTGTCGGAGATAACCTATAGCTTACTTCACTCGGGTCTGATTTAGATTTGCTTTTCGTGATGCCAACGTGACGATCTGAATTTTTGTCTCGCTCTTGATAAGTCTCAGGTACAGTTAGTGTCAACTTTTGTAAAGGCTAGCGGCTTGGAGAAGGGACAAAGGAGTTGAGTGTGTGGTCAGCAGGTGTCTGCGTCGTTATATTTTCAGCTTGGTTGCTATTTTTACTTATGGACACATCACTACTGCTGTTGTGACGAAAAACAGCCTGTTGTCTACCGTTGAAGAAAGTACGCCATTCTGCCGGCTTAACGCAATATAACCGGTGCTATCTGGAATGCGGGAGTGATTTCTTCTTGAAACTTTTGGGCGGCTTCTATATAAATAAATAAATCTTGTATTTCTCGACGATGCATGAGACTATTCCCACATTGGGAAAGATCAACATATTTATAGATTTTTCCATTTAGTCTCCTCTACATACTAGATGGGAATATGCATTATTTTATAGCCATGCCAGTTTCACCTATGCATGTTGTTCAGGGTGAAATGCAGAAGATTTGCTGGGGTCATATCCTCCGTTAACGGATGTCCCGTCGATCTGGACCAGCGCAATCTGACCAGAAGGCGGAAATAGAACTTTCGTGGATGAGCCATTCTTTCAAACTCCCGCTGACGCGTAATCCAACTTCATCGACCGATTAGAAAACGTTCAGAAGTCCCAGTTCGTAGTGGGCTCAGGGAGAAAATAAAATAAACAATAGTATCAAGATAGGTAAGGACCGGCTATACAATGATTACGAGTAAAAATGAATATAACATAAATATCTAGCAAAGAATAATCCAAACAAATATGTTTGCAAGAAATACATAAAATTTGGCAAGCGTTCTTGTTATCTTCCCAATAGTTGTTTTGAGACATCTAAAAATGCGGATCCATGCCGGAAGCCTTATTCCGTGAGAAAAGTACTTCAGAATGAAACGAAGGTTCTAATAGCAACTGACTCTGGCGCTAATTACAATGAGAGAGAAAGGTGCATTGTTTGGTAGATGACAACATTTCAATGCGACGCATCTATTATAGGAAAAACGATCTAGATGATGGCAACATACTTTCTAAATTGTCAAACGAAGTCTAAAAAGTGTGGTATAGCACAATAATATATGTGGACATGTTGTAGTCGCAAGCTTTATGGCCGCCATACTCCGGATTATTACGGCATACAGTAAGGCTTGTGTACATCTCCAGCCATAACTGTGGTTATTCTGAACCATTTGGCGCAAGTTAACGTGTTCCCATAAATTGATATATACCATACTTTGCAAACATTTCATGCTATGTTCTCCAGTAGATACGGATGATCCCCGCTGAATCTGTTTTTTATTTCATCACTGAAACACGATAGTTGTTTTTATGGCGAACAAATTGTTTGCAAGCGTATGTAGAGTAGCGAAAACTAGATGATAAAGGATGGGATCTCGCCTGAAGCACGCAAAGTAACCATCGGCGACAAATCAGTCTTGTCACAAGCAGAGGCGTCACTTTCAAATGTATATCGACACTAACCAGTCTGTCTATCTATTGGCCTCTTGATAACCCCTAAACCCGATTGAAATTAGCAATTGGTAGTCTAAACAGTGTGGTTTGAAACATTATAAGTTAGGGAAAGATAGAGCGGCAACGTTCCTTCTAAGAAGGACGCGGGCAACCAGAATTGAATTGAGGAATTCGCGGCTTACAAAACGATGAATACTTGTCATTGGAATCTGATATTTTTCTGAGTGTTTAATTCTCTTACACACCTTTCCAGGATTTCTCCGCCTGTGATCTCTTGCTCATCATGGGTACGTCGTTACAAGTGTTGCCATTCTGTGCTCTGTTACATCGAGTCGGTACTAATGTACCCCGAGTCTACCTGAACCGGGAGTACTCAGAACAGACTCATTCCGTAAGTGCTTCGCTTTCGGTTGACCTTTACTACAAAGTACTTTCCTCACAATCCGCTGCATTGATCTAAAACCATTTCTTCATTCTACCTGGTAGCGTTCCTCTATAACACGTATTTAGTCACAGAAATGAAACAGGCATAACTACATCAATTTCCTCTCCTTGAGTGCATCGGTTTATCATAGTATCCTAACTTAGCGTCTGGATTGCTGAGCCCCTCTTTAGTTTGTGGTTTTGAGTTTATAAATACAACCATCTATGTTAGACGGTTACCTAATAGTGAATACAGGGAAGTAGTAGGGGATTGAATGGTATAGGTAGAAATTCTTCACATCTAGACTCACTCAGACAGCCATCACACGCCCGGAAAAGCACTACGCGCGTTTCGTCCTTTCGGGAGTCGTCAGCAGTGCGCATTCCATCGGACACTGGTAGGGCTCAAACCAGCAACTCGACTGTTGCCAGTCCATGATTGAGACCACTGAGCTACGGGGGACGGCAACGACCATCGTGAATAAGTTACTAGATGTGATATAGCGCTGCTAAAGGATGAAACGCGCGTACAATGCTTTTCCGGACGTGTGATGGCTGTCTGAGTGAGTCTAGATGTGCCGAATTTCTACCTAATAGTGAATAGTCTTCATCGAGATAGTGTTATTCTTTTGTAAAACATCACACTAATTACTTTGTTTTTCGCGTCGATTCCAGGGGTTTTTAACCTTTCTGATGCGCTTTATGGTTGCTGGTTTCCGGAAAAGGGACTTCCGCTGGCACCGCTCCGACAACACCCGGGACGTTTTTGTGCGAGGCGATGCAGACGACTCTGTGCTGATGCTTGCCGAATTACTTGGTTGGAAAGTGAGTATCTCATTCTTATAACAAAAGTGTTCTTGTGAGGTGACCAAGCAAGAACGGCACTAATGCGCCAGTAGTTGCACTGTGGTCATCAAATCATCGGGGTGTCCTATAGTATGTACGAGGGTCATTCAATAAATAAGGCGAATTTTTCGGTATAAGGCCTTCTAATACAGATAGAAGCTTACTTTTTGTTTATTTTTGTTGTTTTACTTCTTTTTCACATGGATGTAATTTCTTATGCGGATTGAAAAAAAACTTTGAGAGTTGCAGCGATTAACAAAGATGGCCGACCAAGAAGCATGCTCCAGGATTGAACAGCGGTCAGTTAGCAAGTTTTTGGTTGCTGAAGAGTGCAAACCAGTTGAAATTCATAGGAGAATGTCAACTGTGTATGGTGCCACATGTTTCAGCCGAAAAAATGTCTACAAGTGGGCAAAATTGTTTAAAGAAGGACGGAGCAGTGTTGAGGATGAAGCAGGCCTGGGAGACCTACAGAAGTGAGGTCTCCTGAGGTGGTCGAATCAGTCAGTGACCTCATTCAGTCGGACAGAAGGGTGACAGTGGATGACATTGCAAGGACTTTGAGCTTATCTGTTAGGGCGGCAAACAAAATTATCCATGTCATCCACTGTCACCATTCTGTCCGACTGAATGAGGTCACTGACTGATTCGACCACCTCAGGAGACTTCACTTCTGTAGGTCTCCCAGGCCTGCTTCATCCTCAACACTGCTCCGTCCTTCTTTAAACAATTTTGCCCACTTGTAGACATTTTTCGGCTGAAACATGTGGCACCATACACAGTTGACATTCTCCTATGAATTTCAACTGGTTTGCACTCTTCAGCAACCAAAAACTTGCTAACTGACCGCTGTTCAATCCTGGAGCATGCTTCTTGGTCGGCCATCTTTGTTAATCGCTGCAACTCTCAAAGTTTTTTTCAATCCGCAAAAGAAATTACATCCATGTGAAAAAGAAGTAAAACAACAAAAATAAACAAAAAGTAAGCTTCTATCTGTATTAGAAGGCCTTATACCGAAAAATTCGCCTTATTTATTGAATGACCCTCGTAGTTAACCTATAAGGAGACCTTCTAGATTTTGCGCCAGCCGGTGCCACACGAGGTTCTGTGTAGTTGCGATGCTCGTGTATGGGGGTTGTATTGATCTGTTACCGGGACACCCACACATGTACAGGTGGACGACTCAAGTCATCAGCCAAAACCTTCGACTCAGGGTGCTACGAAAATCGGTGCGAGATTCGCCACTAGTCGGTCGATACACGCGGTTGCGTCGCGGTTCTTAGCTTGAAGAAGGTCTTGTTTCGACTCCCACTCATTGGGTCCAGGATTTAAGCCGACTGCTACTCACGAACAGTAGTGCTCGGCAGCATGGATTGAAACGGTAAAACTATGAGAAGAATAAAGCTTGGACAAGGATAGCAGAAGAGTAAGACGGTTGCAACAAATTATTTAAACTTGTGCACTGTGTTATACTGGATGATGTCAACTTGATTAACAATTTGATCAACTACATTCCCGGTTAGTACACACCACGACTCAGCCTTTCGCTCATCTCCTTCACGTTTCTTTACCCGGCCATCGTCTGCCGATTTTGGGCTTCATGCCACTTGACTCACTGTGTACGTTTTACTCGCAGACTAACGTGTTTGGCAGTGCATTAAGAACGTGATTCAGCTAGCGTTGAGCGTATAGGCTCATCGATCTGAGTGCAATGCTACAGATCTGTTCAACGCCAACCGACTGCTCTTAGATCACATTTAGTCGTTGGTGTCAATGTCTAGTTATTTATAGCTCCTAACTTTATGGTTGCTTATTTGCGTTAATAGAGTAGCACACCTTATAAGGGCTGACGGAGCAATGGTAACCAAGCTCATTATTGGTCAGAAGAATTTAGTCGAGACAACGATACTTTCAAAAGGTGGCACCTGTTCGCTACTCGCACCAAGAACTATATCATATCGAACCGGTCATGCGAAATGTGCAATTTTACATAATTCGTGTTGGTCCACGGAATCCGTTGTTATGCCTGTGGGAACTGGAGGAGCCTGTATATCCTGTGTACACGCACGTGTGACCAGTTGGTTTTAGTTTATTAGAGTTTACAATTGGGAAGATACGCATATTCTGTCCGTACACTACTTCTAACGATAGATAGTTGGCTCAGAGGTTGCGAATGCAACCACTGCATCATTTGCGTGGCAAGAAACATGGGATTCAATTGTATAACGGAGCATCAAACCCGAGTAAGTCCATCTGTTGTGGACCCTCATCAAGTAGAACGAGACTAGTTTTGGTTGGATACGAACTCATTGCTTACGGTAACCGTCTCTCGTTTGCTCAGCTCGTCTCCGACGACGGCCAGATGTAGGCACGCGATCAGCCCATTTCAGGGGGCACCCGTATGTCCGCCTTCATCACAGTTTCACATGTTTTCTTCTACACCGTTGTCCCTTCTCTCTTACCTTCGATTTTAGATGAGTGAGGTTTTTCGAATCAATATATAGTTTTTTGTCACAGTAAGTTCCCAGCCCGTTAGTCTCCAACCCATCCGGCATAAACCGCTGGTGTCGAAAGAACATGGGCTCGGTTTTCCATAGAGCATTGGGATGCGCACTACTCGTGTGTTTCCGGTTCATCCGCTCGGCCACATGAGGATTTAAGTCACTATTAGTGAAAAGTAACAATGAGGAAGCTGTAGTTCGCTATACTTGCTGGGCAGTTTCCACTGGACATCACCCTGGGAATGGAGAAAAATTCCTCTGGCTGGCAGCGCAACTGGCGCACCCAAACAGCCTTATCGAAGGCGTCTCTTAATTTACGTGAATCTGCCATGCTATATCATCTGCTTGTGTAGCATTTCTTTATCACCTAACGAAGTATAAACACATGTTCAATGCACCTTCTATCGAGGCAGAAACTAGCCTGGTCCTCATTGATTCACCTCTCTCCAGGCTTACTTGGTCGTTGCAGTGTGATGCTTATGCGAGGTTAATAACAATGCTCTGACGGATTTCGCATTCGAAGTTGGATTTGGAGAACCCGCTATGTGGTTGAATTGAGACCTCCGTGTGCCTCGGTCATTACACTGCGCCAAGCGTTGCTCACGGATCTCAGTAGCGTCAGCTGCGAACCACTAGGCCCTGATCTCTACCGCAGCTCCCGCTATCTCCATTTGATGTGTCCAAACCAGGACGAAATCGGTCATGGGGTCTCAGTGCTGGGAGGAGCAACACCGAAACACCATTTCGGATACGGTCTTTGTGATCGGAATGGCCGAGGTCTATTTCAAAGTGAACCGAGGTCTCACGGCTACTACCGCAAATCCAACTTTGAATTCCTTACCACTGTGCCAAGCGTTGCTCACGGATTTTAGTGGCATAGTGATCATGGCGTCAGCCGTGAACCACTAGGCTTCGAGTTCCACCCCAGTTCAGGGTATCTTCATCTGATGAGTCCAAACCAGGACGAAACCGTCGGTCTTGGGGTGTCAGTGTTGGGCGGAGCAACACCATCTTTCTATCATGTTTGCTCTCCGAGAGTTAAAACGAAGATTGACCCGCCATGAGAAATCTGCCATCAGTGAATAATGAGTCATTTCATACTGCACACAAAGTTGAATCACAGGTGGCTTGTAGCACGTTTTTACTGACTATTTCTTGCTAGCTCTCCGCGCTCACCGTTCACCGGCTGCTGTTCAGATCATTCCAGACCTAGACTTTTCATCCTACCCGTGAATTTGCGGTCCGCTTACGTCGTCGGTGGCTGATTGGTTTTCCTTCCGCTGGTCTCAGTTCCGCTTCTGTCACTTTGTCTAGTAGCCACCATCGCGTTGTAGGCTGTCAGCTTGGGCCCGTTGACCCGAGCGTTCAGCCCGCTCAACTTTGTCCGCACCGTCCACTCGACCCATGAAATTATTGTCAACCCGCATGGGAGGGTGCGCTTGATTCGCTCGCTGTTCGCTAGTCGCGCGTCGATTCCTTCGCCTAAGGTCGGCTGACAGTTGTCATTTCTAAGAAACCCAGCTGTTTCATACAGTATTAAGTTGAATTACATAGGCTAGTCGCCTAAAATGATAAGGAGGAATCTGTGGGCCCTGGTTGCTTTTTTACCCTATTCAGTTAGGATTTGTACTGAAATAGTGGAACGACGCTGTTTCTTCAGACAGTACCTGTTACCTTTATGGAGTTTATAATATGGATCGCACATTAGTGAGCATTCGCCGAGGTCCACGCGAGTAATCAGCCCCCGAATTTTCGCCTAAGTCAACTACGGCGTCTTGAATATATGAATCTGTTTACTCAGCATCACCGGAGTTACCCAGCTACAGTTTTGTGCATGTTTCGCAGTCAGAGCACATACCTGATTGAAGATCGCATAGCTGATGTTGCCTGCTCATCGAACTGACTTATAGTGCTGGCGCGAAATATGGCCCAAGTTTGAGTGACGACTTCGGCATGACGTCAGAACAGTTTATGCTGTTTAGCCTGAAAAGTGGAACTTCACAACTTCGGTAGCATGAAGAAAAAAGAAGATGCGGTGACGAGATTTATGGGCTTGCTGATTTGCCTTAGCTGTTTGTTTTGAGAAAGGAATTTTGTTCATGATTTTCTACCTCTAGCTTCTTATCAAACAACTTGGTCTAAGACAGTGAGTCCTCTGGTTTACTTTGGGGACTCCACTCAGGACCTTTGACACAATGCTCTGACCCACAGCAAAGTAGTTTACAAATTTAGCCCTGGAGTGCGACTTCATATTCCACGGAGATGCCTGCAGACTGGTTCCATGCACTCAATGGGTTTTCAATTGACTCGATCTGTAACCACCGGTATCTCGGTGTTACCCAGGTGCTTAACTTTCTTCCTCAATTTACTGTAATGTAAGACGCCACTAGAATGGTTGCTCGGGCTCTTTTTGCCGTCTACTCGGCTCGAACGACAAGTCACCAGCACTGGGTTTCACCGCGCCCTTGCCGGACCTCCGTTCTAGGCCGTATTGGTACATGGTGCTCTGGCCGACTTTCCGATGCACTCTGTCCGTTATTGACGAAGATACTCTGAGTGTTGCAAACTTGTAAGCTGCATCTCTTACACTCCTACCTGTCACGCATCTGAATCGGTGAGAGCGCCGTACCCATACCCAAGCTGCAATTTACTGTCCCGCCAAAAGCACTACCCCACTTGATCAGCTAGCGATGCACGGCCGCCATCACTCTGCTTTGCTCATCTCGAAATAATGACGATATTAAGTGAATGCACTCAGTTCAGTCAAAGTTTAATGTGAAACTTGTATCTCAGCAGATGGTTCTAGGATTGGCCGCATTAAGTTAGCGCCATGTCGGGGTGGTCTAATCTGATAACCTGTTTTATTTTGCGTTATAATCTCCCCGCCGTCGATGTTGCGGCGCTTGGACTTGTAGTATAGGTCTCACCTCGACCCTCAGAATTCCGGTGGCAGACATGATCTCACCATCAGTCCGATTCTGCTTCAAAACTGGTGACGCCAAAGCAGGAGTATAAGTAAGGTGATCAACCAGTTAAGAGCCACCGTCCGGCACAGCAGCCATCGAAATCACCGACTTGTGTGCAGAGGCATTGTCCTGATTTGATATACCCCTTTACCACTACTTTTTGGCTTAATCGTCCTTGAAACTGCTTTAGCAAGGTGGTACTATTTTTCCATTGATAGTATGGTTACTTGGAATGTAGTCGACGAGCATAATGCATTTTGCATCACAAAGACCGTAATTATCACCTTCCTTACAAGGGATGTCGTCTAGTCTCTGGCTCAAAGTGGTGAGCCTGACATTCATTTTTGATGAAGAAACGTTCGCTATCGACATGATCGGTCTGGTTTTTGTGCCAACCGAGAGCAAATCCTTGACATACTGGAATGCCCTCAACTCTTTCTCGAGAAATGTCTACTGTATTAATTACCTGATTCATGTTAAGAACGTCTGGTATCCATCACCATATGATCCTCGTGGTCGATGTTTTCTTCGGTGGTGACAACTATGGCAACACTTTCGGACCTTTTGTCATCTTCACTGCTTCCTTACACCTTTTGATTTTGGCTGTATACTGGCACACAGTTGCTACTGATAGCGTCCCACTCGCTAATTGTGCCAGCATGAATTTTCCGCGGGGTTAACACCCTTTCCCTTAAATATTTGATAACAGCTAGCCGATCGATTCCATCCACTTTCACCAATACCTGTAGTACCACTTCTCCACGCTCTCAATTCTTTGTAGGTATGGCTTTATCTGGAAAAACCGGAACTTACCATCAGGAATCATTGCATTTGATGTTTGCGAAATTTTAATCATCAGTTTGTTTGTGAACTTTTCAGTCTGCCCTAGCACAGCCCTCTATATTCTGTGCAAGATGTTCTGAATAGACTGATGAAAAACGCTGCGCTTCTCACCGTTTTCCCACTCTTTGAATACCAAGTGCCTTTTCAGTTACCGAATTGATCGACCGGTTTACTTGTCTAGATTGCTGTGCCACCCATAGTACTGAGATCATCGAGTGCGAATTGCTGTAACTATGGTGATCCTCCATCCAAATGAGCATTGGGTCACAATTTCTGCAAACCAAATTTCCTTCTATCTTTCCGTTCTTTGGTACACCAACATGCTTAGCTCTGTCTATCTCCCGTGCCGATTTGCGTGGATCCATCCTGTGTGAATACTTCATTGCACCTCCCCATGACTGCCGCCACGTGCCTCTACATCCAGTCCCACATCGATTACGATTATCTTTTAGCCTCCTCCTACACGTCAATGATTCTTCGACCCATTATTTGAATGCTCCAGGCAGATTGAATTCATTCCACTCCAACGCTCACCCAGCGCTCGTTCTATTCGTGTGCTTAACGAGTCCCATCATTTCAGCTGTCCTCTAGACATGCTATGCACTGTACTGCTGTTACTTCGTAACCTGGTCTCTCCGGAGCCTCTTGTTAGTTCTCTGACCGAGTTGCTTACTTTTTGTAGCATCTTCTTAGTCTGTTTGTAAATGGTACCAAATGATGGGATCCCTGGAAAGAACAACACATAATCAGTGATTTTGCTCAGCATATCGCGGCCATCAACTTGGACTTGTGTTCATATTTCGGTTGTTCTGTTGCTTATTATTTTCCACCGTCATAGTCAAACCGGAACTCTTCTCGATATTCACCTCTTTGATTTTTACACTCTACAACCGATCCACAAATTTTCCATTGATTCATTGTCGTGCATCTTCTTATACACGCTGTGAACGGTAAACTTCCAGACTGATAATCGGAATATTACTTTTAATATACATAACTGACAGCCGCGCTACTTGCTTGCACACATCCCTCTCCCTGTTAACCAAACCCCGCAAGTTTATCAAAATCTGTTCCATGCGTCATACATACTTGCTTCCACTACCATCCACGCAACCTGCCACACCACTGTCGTCCGTCTGTTCAAGCATTTGTACACACCTGCCTCGTGACACACCGCCTCCCTTAACTCACCCGTATGATTAATGCACAGTCGCCTCTTATGCGTTATACAGTGGTCACATTTTGTAGGGTCCTTTGGCCTAATGTAAGCGCCTGTGTGATTCCGCCTACCGACTCTGGTCTCTGATCTCTTTGTACAGTCGCAAGTATGGCGATTTGCACTTATTTGTTACCTTGTGAAGACTCGGTTGTTTCCGTGTTGCGCGCGTATAGATGATGATAATCTATGTATATTTCCATTTGTGCGAGTTATAGTCCAACTACTTGGATTGATGATTTAGTACAACACGATCTCAATGGTAACATGATATCAAAGGAAAGGTATTATTTCAAATTTTCCGGAACACTTCTGAGCCAGCTTTTCTGGAATTTCGATCGGTAAAAGTGATAAAATGAAAGTGAGGTTGAAAGTAGAATGGAAGTGGTTATTGTGAAAAGTTCAAAAGAATTAACACGGCTATTCATGGAACCGACTCCTGGGGACCTGCTTCCATGAGCACAGTCCCTCGAAAGATTTCATCCGCACTTCCACGCCTCATTTGGCTTCGTGTCGGTGTGGCATAATAGCAAGCGAACCATTACCATTTTAGCTCATTTCTAGGGCTCGCAGAAATAAATGAGCTCTCAGCTGACGTTTGTGCTTATTGAATTTGGCTATACATTTGCATAGTATCGCAGTTCATTTCCGGTATTTTCTTGGGTTAACTCGGGAGTTATACGCGTTGCTTAATTCCCAACTAGGTTTGTCGCCTCTACATACTCTGTTAACCACCACAGCTGGTACTGCTTGACTCACGGATTTGCGTAGAGGCATCTCGTGCTTCGTTTTTGATTGTATTTCGTTCACCAAGATGCTAAATTTCATCATTTTATACTTTTCAGGAAGAACTCCTTGCTTTGAAAAAATCGACAGATGCCAAAATATCCGGCGACTCGCTGGACTCACCCAGCTCTTCTACGACTGTCGAATGAGTGTTCTTGCAACGGATAGCTGGTGCTCCCATAACTTCCTCTCATGAACCTTTGTAACTGTTGTTCCCATATAATCCACAGCTGACACTGTCTTTGCGGTGACTGTGTTTTAACACAAAACTTGGGTCATACAATTAACTAAATTCTGTTATTTTAGTATTTTACGAAATATGCTGTTGATCAACCACGGACACAATGTACAGAATCTGACAAAATGACGCTCTCTCAAGCCAATAATTTAGATGCCGGCTTATAGGCAAATCTTGCGGCTGCAGGATACACTCGATAGGTTGAAACAGTTGGAAGCGTTCCGTTTACCGTCATTACACCGATTCCCATGTCTGATTTAAGGGCTCTAATTTTGCGTCTTTCGACTTGTCCTTACTCCTTGCATTCTTCTCGCTGTTGGGCTTTATGAAGCCAAGCTAACTCAGCCGCATCATTTAAAGACGATGGTGACTGCCTTGACACCACCCGCCTACGTAAGGAGCATGGTCATTACGGCTGAATGCGTTATCCACATCACCTAATAGCTCGAGGCGCATCCGTGCCACTTGCGAATGTTGTCGCACCACTGCGGTAGGTCGAAATGTGAGCACACCTGGTCCCCAGGCGCGTATAGTCGGCGGTATTCGTTTCCGGATTTGCCCGCCACCTTAGCCGCGAACAGTCACATGACATCTACATCTACGAGGAGAGGACATGGGTGAACTGCACAGCTCCATGCGTCTCTAACCATTTCACAATCCATTTCGCGATCGAGTGGAAGGCGGAAGCATATATGTCAATAGCCGGTTTGTACACTTTGAGTAATCCATGGAGTCCTTGTGGATGTGATACGACTGGGGTTAGTTGCTTAAATAACACGCCACGTACCCAAATTCCATAGTTCTTCGCTGTTTTCATTATTTTTCTGTGTATTTTTATCTGTTTGTACTATATAACGCAAGAACATTTAGTGTCATGAAGAATTGTATGCAGATTTGAGATGTAATGCGATCCAGCCACACAGGACGAGACCGAACTCATGAAAACGCCGGAGCCATGGAATTTAAATATGATTAGTGGCGCCTTATTTGAGCAACACCGGTCGGATAACATCCACCGACTATTGATTATCCAAAGTACACAAACTGCAGATCCCTTTGCGTCTGATTATTGACCTATGTGTCTTCCACTGGGTCGCGAAGTGGATTGTTAGAGTAAAGCATTGTGCATTCACGCTTTAGAAGATTCTTTCGATTTTGTTTCACTGGTGAAAAGTTGAGAGTAGATGAGAAAGTGGTGCTGTCGTTCGATGTCGAGTCATCTTTTACAATCCCCTCGCTACAAATTGTCAGTTTCTTCTATGATTACTTGATAAAAGCGCATGTAGATACTGTGTACCGGAGCTCAAATTGAATGAACTGATTTTACGATGCACTTTCAACAGGTAATTCTGGCTTGTGGGATGTTATAAGCAGATGGAATTACAATATGGTCGCCCCTAGAATCTCTTCTTACTGACATATTTCTTGCCAAGTCGGAATGTAGGGCTTTGCTGCAAATTGTTGCGTCACTTGGTTCCTTTTGGGGGTACGTGGGTGATACATTGTGGAAGTAATTCCGAATAAATCTCGTCTGCTCTGCATGCTAGATGAATAAGCAGACGCGGACAATCAGCGCGGGGAGTTCTGGGCTGGTATCCCACCAAATACCACAAGAGCTCGTACGGCACTGTGTCAAAGTCAATGTGACCGGCTGTATGGTCACTTCTGTACCCAGAGGTGAGTACCTAACGGGGAGGCGAATGTACAACCTTGCTGGTCACTGGCTTCTCTATGGACTGCAACCGAACAATAAGAAGGCGAATAAGCCACCTAGATGTCAACGGTCTACGTATTCAGCAACATACGTGAATTGCCCTGCTGCCTTGCGGATCAGGTCTCTAAGACCAGGGGCTCAGGGTGGGGTCCCTAGATGTCAAACCTCTTCATCGACCTAGGCAACCAGAAAGCTCACTACCCACGCAACACATGAACCCACCTAACCTCTTTCCTGACCGTAACATTTCTTCATGTGTTGTGGCATTGCGTCGATTACTTACTGGTCAAGTATATATATATATATATATATATATATATATATATATATATTGATGAGAGTGAGTATAGTTATAGTTCCAGTTATCCCTCAGCCATACTGAATTTACCGGGGCTTATGAAAACACACGTACTAACCGGATGGAAGGCAGATGTGCAGAGACGCCTACCAGAAGTTGCATTGCACATGGCCAATCTTTTGGATGGACTAAGTAAAATGTTGAAGCTATGGGAAATGGTATGTCAGTGTGTTAGTATATTACATCGGAAATAAATCGGCGCATAGCGACAATGGTTTTATGAGCACCGAATGGTTGCACCCGAAACGTACGATATAGATCCTTAGCAAATAGCTTGTGGCCACAGTAGAGTACACGTCGGTAGGTACAAACGGTTGAGTAAATACATATATATATATATATATATATATATATATGTATTTACTCAACCGTTTGTACCTACCGACGTGTACTCTACTGTGGCCACAAGCTATTTGCTAAGGATCTATATCGTACGTTTCGGGTGCACCCATTCGGTGCTCATAAAACCACTGTCGCTATGCGCCGATTTATTTCCGATGTAATATACTAACACACTGACATACCATTTCCCATAGCTTCAACCTTTTACTTAGTCCATCCAAAAGATTGGCCATGTGCAATGCAACTTCTGGTAGGCGTCTCTGCACATCTGCCTTCCATCCGGTTAGTACGTGTGTTTTCATAAGCCCCGGTAAATTCAGTATGGCTGAGGGATAACTGGAACTATAACTATACTCACTCTCATCACTAGTCTGCGGAGTGGAACATGAAATGGCGACATCGTGATAATCGCTAGTCGGTTAATTGTCTGGATTGTTCACTTGACACAGAATTTCCAGCGAAATTTCTCTTTGAATGCATACTCCAGTGTAGTCACACGAGGGACAATCGTTGAGCATCGTGTTCCAAATGACAAACTTGACATTTTATGCGTACTGTAAACGGCCAAGCGATAATAACCTTTTGATTCAAACCTATCCATCGAACTGGAAACATGCACAATAATTTGCCACCCTAGCATTGATCCGTTGCAAGCACACAAATCGCTCGGAAACACCGCACGCACATCATTTACGAATGAGCTCATGGATTGACTGAGCCATTATTCTGCGATGCACCGGCTCTCTAAGCGTCATGCTAGTTAACATTGAGCAGCTGGTCAAGCTACGGTTATGGTGAGTAATACCATGGAGCTTACATAGTGATGTGAATCGCGGCCGAATAATAATACGAAGAGGAAGATGCCGTAGCTCACTGTCCCGGCATGTAACTGTACTAGACTCCGCTTGAGAAGGTAGCAAGAATAGCATAGCATAGATCATGATGAGTACAATATCGTAATGCGCAACACGTGAAGTCATCGCGAAATGCAATCGAGTTAAATAAGCCTAATAAAGTTAGGTCACCTGTGGCTCATCCGTTCTAGGCAGGTGCAATAAAGATACCACATTGCACCAAGTCAGTAGTTAATCATTCTAGAATGAAACTGTACCCATGCGCGACTTACATGCGGAATATAGAATAAGGATGACGCCAAAAAATTGACGGAGATGGCGTAAGCAACTTTCCAAGTTAGCAGGGAAATGGTGCGATTATGTCCACTGCAGGCTATCCGTGTCGTAAAGTAAAACCAGAGCCGGTTATAATCGTCTGTTGTCCGAGATGAGCGAGAATCAACAGGGAGGTAGAACCACTAGGCAGTCCGTCATGTATTACTATTTATTTCCCCTTGGTCATTCGTTCGGACCGCTAACATATCTCGACCAATTCATCAGTGTCTCGAATACTACCTATGCCCAAGCATTTCAATTTGGATGTCACAACGTATTGCCGCTGTTCGGGGAATCAACCTTGATGACTTATCTGAATCTTAGTGCGTTTACCTGAAGGCGGCAGCAGTAAAAGGGGGCGTATAGAGACACTTGGGATGGGATACATTGACCTCATATTGCAACCCCTAATATGTCACGGTGTCACATGAGAAGAAATGTAATAAGATGCATCTGTCAAGTGCGAATGTATCGAGACACGAACAGATGTTAGCGGGATTTGTACTTTGCGCGAGTCCCATTTAGACATCGAGCCAGCAGATAATGGCGTTACGCGAGTGAAAATGCCATCAGTCTGTCAGGTTGAAGTGTGGTGCTTATAAGTGTTTCTACATGGCTTCCACTTAGTCATTCAACGTGAGATGTCAGTTGACATACCAAAGGTCCCTGGTTCGAGTTATAGTATTGCAGTGTTTCGGACGGGCATTTGTTCACACTTGTGTATGGACTACCACTGGATGAAGAAATAATAACCCTCATGAACCATAACACTACGTACGTGCATGAGTTTGGATTGAATGAAGGAATAACAGCTATATTTCTCTAGTTTTAGAAAATCGCACGTAGAATTATATGTAACCAATACGACTGCCAGTGGTTAGTTAGCGTTTGGATGAGAACCGAAACGGCAGCCTTAAGTTTAGTCAGAAGTGTGGGTATCAACAATAGATTGAGACAGATAGGGAACTACTTAAGCAAATGCCGTGAGTATGGTTACCAGGTAGAATGATGCACAACTAAATGTACCGTAAAACACAGATGACTTATGGTTCCTGTGTATTGTACATGCTGTCTTGCTACAAGCGTTAGTAGACGATAATATCATACATTTCCTGATGGCCCCCTTGACGCTATCACATCACCAACACATGTAGTAAATTCCGCTGCTCCTTGTTCTGTCATCGGCTTTCGAAAGAGTGTGCAAACTGTTTTAGCAAGTTTACAAGAAGTACCTTGCACAACATCTAATTATCTACTATCTCAAATGAGTATGTCGTGGGACATCTGGGCACTATGGTATCTTCACAGCGGGGTTTGGAATGGAACCACAGACATGGCTTGAGAAAACAATGAACGAGTAAATCTCCATACCCATGGTGTGATTTGCAATGAAAACAGTGAGCATTGCATAGTTAATCATATGGGGGTAGAAAAACAGTGTGTATCTAGTGCTGGGCAAATGGCGTAGATAACGTGGTTAACTGAACTTATTATATTCCCATGAGACCTGGATTTCTCA